AATCCTCCCAAGCAGCTCATAAGCAAATTCCTTCCACCTCCTCCACGGTGCTTTTTGTGACTTCCTTTCCCCTTTGAAGCTGGTTGTAGAAACCTGGAGTCAGCTATGTGAAACTGGGGTGGGCAGAGGGATGCTGAGATTTCACACCCAGTGCTCTCTCAGGCCCCCAAGAGATTCTTTTGTTTTTATTTTTATTTATTTTTAATTGTAAACAATAACCTAAACTTTACTATTTTTAAAAATTTATTTATTCATTTAAAATAATCTCTATACACAATGTGGGGCTTGAACTCACAACCCCAAGATTAAGGATTGCATGCGCTTCTGACTGAACCAGCCAGGTATCCCTAAACTTTTTTTATTTTAACCATTTTTTTTAGAGGTGGGGGAGGGGCAGAGGGAGAGGGAGAGAGAGAATCCCAAGCAGGCGCCACGCCCAGCGCAGAGCCCCATGTGAGGCTCAATCTCACGACCTGAGCTAGAATCAAGAGTCGGATGCTCAACCAGCTGAGCGGCCCAGGTTCCCCTATTTTAACCATTTTTAAGTGTACAGTAGTACTGTGTCCACATCATTGTGCATCAGGTCTCCAGAACTTTCTCATCTTGTAGAACTGCAACTTTCTCCCCATTTCCACCTCTTCCAGGCCCTGGCAGCCACCATTCTATTTTCTGTCTTATGAATTGGACTACTCTAGGGACCTCATATAAGTGAAATCGTACAGTATTTGTCTTTTTGTGACTGGCTTATTTCGCTTAGCAGAATGTCTTCAGGGTTCACCCATGTAGTTGTGCATGACTGGATGGCCTTTTTAAAAGGCTGAATAATATTCCATTGTATGGATATACCACCTTTACTTATCCATTCATCTGTCAATGTAGTGTTCAGCTTAGATTTTGATTCTGATCCAACTGGCCATTATTTTTATTTTTAAAAATATTTTATTGATTTACTTGCACGTGTGAGAGAGCATGAGTGGTGGGGGAAGGGCAGAGGGAGAGGGAGAAGCAGACTCCCTGCTGAGCAGGGAGCCCAATGCGGGGCTTGATCCCAGGACCCTGGGATCACCGCCTGAGCCCAAGGCAGATGCTTAATTGACTGAGCCGCCTGGGGGTGCCCAACTGGCCATTATTGAGTACCCCCTGAATGCTGCCGACTGTTGTGGTGTCTTGGATACCCATTACTGAGACGTTCTCACATTGTCAGGAACGTCCACTGCAGGTTGACGCAAGTAGGGTCTTTGTACTCTCCCGCCCTCCTTACTCCTAAGGCCCCGTTGTCTTGCCAGAGCAGCCCTCAAAAGATTCAGGTATAAACCTGTACTGCTTTGATAAGCATTTAAAAAATTGAAAACCATAAAAAAAGAACAAACAATGGATCTTGTAGCTGAAAAAAGTTTGGAAACTTCAGCTTTATCTCATTTGGTCATCGTACCACCATGTGAGATTTGCATGGTCCTCATTTTTCAGAGGAGGAAACAGAAGGATTAAGATCTAGAGGAGTGGGAGGATGAAGGCAAGAGGAGGCTGGGAAGGTGAAGGGTGGCTGTGGGGCTCAGCCAGGAGTAGGGTGAGTGCCTGCTTGAGAAGGAGTGCCCTTATGTTTTGTGCCCTAGGCACCTTGCTTGCTGCACCCTAGTGAGGCTGTGGCTGGAGGCTGAGCCTGAGAGAGGCCCTCCCTATGGCCGGGAGCAGTTGTCCGCAGCCCTAGGATCTGACAGCCACCCTGAGATGGGCTCACCCTGCAAGGGGCAATGGGTTGGAAGTTGGGGAATCCTCTGGGAGCTGGGCTCCTGGTAAGCAGAGTTTGGCCTGAGAGCAGCAGAACCCCAGGACCAGGCACATTCTCTGCTTGTCCCTTTTCTCAGGTGTTTGGTCCTGAAGACTGCTTCTCAGTGTCCCTGAGAGGAGCCACCTGAAGGTGCTGCAGATGCAGATGAAGAAACCCACAGACATGCAGGGCTTATGCAGGTGCTTCATGCCTCCAGAAGGAGGTGTGGGCAACTCTGTTGCATTTAAAACATCTTGAAGTTAGGAATTGTGGGTGGAGGTCTCAGGCCCACAGAGCCATCTCCCCAGCTGCTCTCTATGTGGCCAGGACACTAGGAAACCTCTGTTCCCTGGGGCCGCTGCTGAGTCATAAACGCATGGGACACATTTCAACAGAAATGCCCATTTGTTAAGTTTCAGGTGACTTTCTCAGTCTCTTCCACTTATATCCAGGACAGTCCCAGAGAATTTAGCTCTGGTCATGACCACCTCTTTCCAAGGGCACTTCTGGAGAAGCAGGCCTGACCTCTCTTTGCCTCTCTCAGTCAAGCTGCCTCTTCCATGAACGAGTGGGTCCTGGGGGCAGAGACCCTTAATCTTCTCACCCTTAATCTTCTCGCCTCTTCCACCCATCACATTGGGACAGAGTGCAGTCATCCGTGTGTCAGGAGAGGGGGCAGTGAGTGAGAATGTGGGGGTCAGCCGTGTGGAGGGACAGGTGCCGAGGTATTTGGGGGCTGCAGAGGCAAAGGGACATCCTGGGAGCCCGAGGAGTTGGCCTCTAGTCCTGTCCACCGTGAGCAGGCAAGGAACTCAACCTCTCAAGACTGTTTCCTCATTTATAATGTGGCAGTAATAATATTTGCCTCTTCGGCTTGTTGAGACAATCAAATGAGAAGCAGGTGAGAAAGCACTTGACAAAGCAGAAAATGTTCTGCTGGAGGGAGGCTTTATTTTTACCTCTGAGGAATGGATAGTGGAGGAAAGAAAAATGTTGATACTTGGGGAGAGGATGGTGGGAGAGAAAGGCATGGGATAGGAGTATTAGGGAAAAGATGATGAGAAGTTTGGAATTTGTAGATACTGAGGAGAAAAGGGGAGGGGAAGAGGTAGATAAGCTGCAAAAAGGAGATGCTAGCATCTACCAAAATGGTGTGAGGGATGGTATGTGTAATGTGTGTGTGGTATGTGCGTGGTGTGTATGTGCTGTGTGTGGTATGTGTGGTGTAGGTGTGTGGGTGTGAATATGTTATTTGTGGTGTACGTGTGTGGGGTATGTGTGTGTCCCTGTTAGTTTCCCACCCTGTTATAGCTTCCTCTGCCTCAGGCTACTCTTCAGGACTCCAAGGGCCGTGGTCGGGTCAGCCAGCCTGGGCCTGCCCCCTGGTGGCCAAGAGTGGCAGGGTGACCGGAGTCTCACCAAGGCTGTAGTTTGGACACATCCTCTTCCAGAGTCTGTTGCTGTCTTCCTCTCCTATTTTGTAGATCTCAGGCCCCTTGTGAATGACAGAATCAGTGTGACAACAGGTGCAGTCGTTCCTAATCAGGTGGCCGTTTGTGGAACAGTTCCTTTAGGACCCCAGAGGAATTTCCATCCCTGCCAGGACTTCAGGCAGTGACTGGGTGATGGGGGGGCGCGGGTGGGGGATGTCTCTGGGTTCAGGCATTTTTACTCCACACAATACACAACTGCTTTGTTTTTCCTAAGAAGGATTTTTAAAACAAACAAACAAATTACTGCAGGCTAACAGAATTACATTGTGCAGGTTTCCAAAACAAACACTGTGACTAATGGCAGATGTGCTGGACAGGCTTTGTTCTGCTTTTAACTACTGACCCCGGCTCCCTTAAGAGCTGGCCCTGGACCTTTAAGACCCAGCCAGATGAATGGGCTGGTGTCTTTGCTCTGCTCCTGTGATGATTCGTTCACTCATTTGTTTCTGATGCAACAAGTATTTACTAACTGCTCAGCACACATCTGACACTGTGCTAGACGTGGGGGTCAAAAAGATGAATACAATGCACACCTCTCAGGGGCGCTTGGGTGGCTCAGTTGGTTAGACGTCTGCCTTTGGCTTAGGTCATGGGTTCTGGGATCGAGCTCCCTGCTCGGCGGGGACTCTGTTTCTCCCTCTGCCTTTGCCCTCTCTCCCCCAGCTTGTGTGAGCACTCTCTCTCTCTCTCAAATAAATAAATAAAACCTTTAAGAAAACAAACAAAACACACACCTCTCGAGGGTCTTGGCTAGAGGCCAGGAAGCTTCTTTAGGATAAATGCTCGCATGAGGCTGTTAGCAGGGGTCTCCACCTGCACTGAAGCTTTGGTCCCCAAAGGGGTCTGGTGTGGGGGGGTGGCATTCAAGATTTGGTGATTTAGTGGTACAAAGCATGGGTGTCCTCAGACTCATCTGTGTAAAAACTCATACCCTGATGCTCAGAGATCTTAGTATATTAGGTCTGGGGTTGGACTCAGGAGTCTGACTTTTATAAAGCTACTGGAAAGTCAGGTTTATAACCCCTTCTTTAGGCTGTGGCTGGGATAGGACAGTGGAGAAAAGGCAGTGGATTTCAAGGTGACTGGCTTGTGGCTTCATGGGAGAGGGTGGCTCTCAAAACAGCCAGCCACTTGCACCTTGCTGGAGTAGGACACAGAGAGCAGGGTCTACGCCGGGTCTTCTGTGGCCTGACAGAGCTCTGTGGACTGGCTGGCCTGGCTTGACTGAATCATGGAAAAGCTGTTTATTCACCTTCTTGGCCAAACATCACCAGAAAGATTCACTTCAGGAAAGAAAGCAGCTCTGTATCTATGGCAACATTTCCAAAAGTATGCTCTGGAAACATGAATTCAAAGTAATTTATAAATATTAATGCATAAATATTAATTTCAAATGTAGAGAGAAAGAGAAAGAAGAAGAGATATTGACTCATGATCAACTCAAATTAAGATACACTGGTGTAAAAATAAAGTGTGTTTTTTTTAAGTAGCTTACTCAGAGATTTTGTTAAGATGACTTTCTAGGTGGGGTGGTGTTGCATTCAGCATTTCCCAAATAGGCCACGGAGCTGTTTTTGTGAGCCATCTCTTCTCTTCACACTAGGGTTCTGGGGAGCATTAGTTTGAAAGAAACTTTTTTTTTTTTTAAAGGTTTTATTTATTTGTCGGTGGGGGGGAGAAGGAAAGAGAGAGAGAGAGGAGCCTGATGTGGGACTCGATCCCAGGACCCTGGGATCATGACCCGAGCAGAAGGCAGACATTTGACTGAGCCACCCAGGCGTCCCTGGAAGAAACTTCTTTACAGTTTCCCTGTTCTTCCTCTCCACCTACAAGGTAAGAGAACAAATTGTTGAGACCTCAAACCAGGCTGGCACTCTTCTTTTTTCTAAGATTTTATTTATTTTACTTGAGACAGAGATGGGGAGAGAGAGAGAGAGCACAAGCAGGGGGAGCAGCAGAGGGAGAGGGAGAAGCAGGCTTTCTGCTCAGCAGGGAGCCCGACTCAGGGCTCGATCCCAGGACCCCAGGACCCCAGGACCCCAGAATCGTGACCTGAGCCGAAGGCAGACGCTTAACCGACTGAGCCACCCAGGCACCCCTAGGCTGGCACTCTTAACAGGAGTGAAAGCCTTATTTTTATGTATAAGGCACAGGTATCCTTATAGTACATAAAAAGATAGAGGGTATGTATCTGTGGTATTAAATTTTATGGGGCAGGGAGCAGTTGCGGGGGAAAGAACCTCCTCAACGAGCAATGCTGAGGAATGCTGGCAGACTTCCAGCCAGTCAGACTGGGATTGGGGGACAGCTCTGCCACTGTGTGACCTTGAGGTAAGTTATTTGAGCTTCAGATTCTTCCCCTGGGAAATAGAGATTCTCACCACCTCATGAGATCTCTGTGAGCTTTACAGAAGGTGTTTGAAAACCAGAGGCTAAAGACATACCGTTAGGCCTGCACCTTTGCATCCATTGTGGGATTGCCGCAGAGTTAGCTAATCATCTTGGGCTTTTCTGCCTTTAGGCTGTAGACAGAAGCATAAAGATACATGAAGCTTGGTACAGCAGGTCTAAGGAAACAAAAATGGGAAAATACTATTTTAGCTTGTAAGGTAAACAAAGAAGCAATTTTACCTGGAAGGGGGTCCCCAGCAAGTCAGAGCAGGCACTCAGGGGTAGCTGCAGCACCACCTGCGGGGCGCTCCACTGCTCCCCTGGGCAGCAGGGTCCCAGAGCCCAGGGAACAGCTACTTCATCTTGCAGGCCCAGCCTGCTGGGTGTCAGAGGCTGGATAGACACTGAGGTGGGTGAGGCAGGCCGAGGCAGGAAATGTCCGCTACACCTAAAAATAGTGTGGGAGGGAACAGGAAACAAAACTTTGGGCCAACATGGAAATGCTTTCTGAATTATCAGGAAATCAGGATTAAGAGCTGTGGGGGCAGACACCACCCTGCAGCAAAACTGCAGTTCCCTGTGAGCCCTCTCCGTGGAAGGAAATGGAGGAAGCCAGACTTGGTCTCTGGTGGAGAACGGGGACTAACTGGGAAAGCATTAGGTTCAGTCCTTTGCTGCATTACTAACACAGCATATCTGTATCCCCTTGATCTTTAATTGCATGGAGAGGCAGGTCTTTACTAGGGTGGCCAACAGTTTTCTTGTTCCTGGACTAAAGGGGTTCTCAGGACATGGAACTTTGAGTTTTAAAACCAGGGAAGTCCTGAGCAAACTGGTAAGTTGGTTACCTGACACTTAACAGAGAATGCTTAAATCTCTCAAACTTCAGTGCAGGGGGTTCAATCCTGCCTACACAGAGCATCACCTGGGGGAGTTCTTAAAAATCTCAGGACCTAGGGGCGCCTGGGTAGCTCAGTCGGTTAGTGTCTGCCTTCAGCTCAGGTCCTGATCTCAGGGTCCTGGGATTGAGCCCCATGTCGGGCTCCCTGCTCAGCTGGGAGCCTGCTTCTCCCTCTCCCTCTGCTCCTCTCCCCACCCCTCTCTCTTTCAAATAAATAAAATCTTAAAAAAAACCAAAACATCCCAGGACCTAGACTGAAGTCAGACCAATTAATTTAGACTCTCGGGGTGGGACGCAGGCATCTGCATTTTATTTTATTTTATTTAGGATTTTATTTACTTGAGAGAGAGGGAGCCAGCACACATGAGCAGGGGGGAGGGGCAAAGGGAGAAGCAGACCTCCACTGAGCAGCGAGCCCATCCGATCCGGACTCCATCCCAGGACCCTGGGATAATGACCTGAGCTGAAGGCAGAGGCTTAACTGACTGAGCCACCCAGGCACCCCCAGGCATCTGCATTTTTCTTTTTTAAATTTTTTTTTATTTATTAGAGAGAGAGAGAGCACTTGAGAGAGAGCATGAGCAGTGGGAGGGAGAAGCAGGCTCCCTGTTGAGCAGGGAGCACTGATACAGGGGCTTGATCCCAGGAACCCAGGATCAGATGCCTACTGACTGAGCCACCCAGATGCTCCCAGGCATCTGCATTTTAAAAAAACTCTCTAGGTGGGTGATTCCTGTGTGCAGCTAAAGCTGAGAGTCATGGTTTTACTGTGGATTAAGTATCACCTGGGGCCTGTTTTCCGGGCTTCCCCACCAGAGATTCTCAATATATGATCTGCAGTGGAAGCTGGGGACGTTTCTCTTAAAACTAAGTCAGCAGTGATACCCATGCAAGGGTTCCCCGGGCACACTTTGTAAAACACTGATCTAGAATCTTACTCTCTTGTAGATCTATTAGCTTTAAACAGAAGGGGATGTTCTGATCAATCAAAACATATATTCAACAACTACACACTGGAGGACTATAAGATGATTCAATCAAGTTCCTCTTCTAAAAGCAATTAACTTCTAATGAGCAAGACAGACACACTTTAGGGCAGCTGGTGACAAGTCATCCTTGGAGAAAAAAATCTAGGATTGAACCAATGAATAGCATTGGGTTGAGCACCAGAATTCCTGGGCTGTTATCACGACCCATATATTAATGAGCTATGTGTGCAACCCTGGGAAAATGATCCCCGTTTGCTCGTCCTCATCTTCCTTAGCCGTAAATTGCATGGTTTGGACGACCTGATTTTCTTTCTTTCTTTTTTTTTTTTAAAGATTTTATTTATTTGACAGAGAGAGAGACAGTGAGAGAGGGAACACAAGTAGGGGTAGTGGGAGAGGGAGAAGCAGGCTTCCCGCTGAGCATAGAGCCTGATGCGGGGCTCGATCCCAGGACCCCAGGATCATGACCTGAGCTGAAAGCAACCGCTCAACCGACTGAGCCACCCAGGCGCCCCTGGACGACCTGATTTCTAAGGCCCTGCTTCGTCTGAAGCTGACTATGAACCTGGTCAGCACATCTTGTTTGGAGAGCAGAGTATGTAGGGCTCTGGGCAAGCATGGGGATGCTATGGGCAAACTCCTTGTATCCTGAGAGGAGGTAACAGCACTTTTTGCTAAAAAGAAAACAGGGGTGCCTGACTGTAGAACATGCGACTCTTGATCTCAGGGCAGAGCTCCCTTAAAAAAAAAAAGAGAAAACACGTTTCCATGGGGAGAAGAGAGTTAAAGTCATAGGGTCCCACATGGAGGTCCCCATTGGGACCTAGGGGGCACCTGAGTTGACTATAGCATTTGTTGCAGATGGTGAAGGATAGAACAGAGCCTTCCAGCAGGTGTACTAGCTTGCTAAGGCTGCCATAACAAAGTACCACAAACTGGGTGGCTTAAACAACAAATTTATTTGGAGATCAAGTTGTGGGACCATGCTCCCTCAGAAGGCACTAGGGAAGGATCTGTTCCAGGCCTTTCTCCTAGCTTCTGGTAATTGCTTAGTTTGTGGAAGCATAATGCCAGTCTTCACATGGAGTTCTCCCTGTGTTCAAATTTCTCCTTTTTATAAGGTTATCAATCATATTGGATTGGGGGCCCAGGCTACTCCAGTAATGATTCATGTTAATTGATTATATCTGCAATGACCTTACTTTCAAGTAAGGTCACATTCTGAGTTACTAGAAGTTAGGACTTCCACACAGGAAATTGGGGGGGACACAATTCAGCCCACATCAGTGGGGATGCACTAATAGTAACAGCTAAACAGATTCAATTACTGAAGAAGGCTTAGAGGTACAAAATGATAGTGCTTGCAAACCTACAGTTTATTATAGCATAGCAACATCATCAAAGCAGAGATACCATCACAGCCAGAGGCTGCTCATGGCAAGGGGCCTGGGGAAGCCAAGTCCCAGCTCCTATTGCCTCCCTCTGTTAAGGTCTGTGGCAGGGCATGCTCTTTCAAATCAGGAACCACCAGTGGGTACCTGGAACACTTCAGAGCCCCAGATTCTTGGTCCAGATTTCTTGTAGCTTGTCATGCAAGCATATCCTCACTATATAACCACCTCCAAATGGCAGAGCCTCTGGGTGGGTGGCGGTGCTCATCTAGACCAGGTGCAAATCATCAGTCTCATTGCTATCAAACCACAATTCTCACAAGCTCGTACATACCACCCCAAACTCCTCGGGGGCATTGTTATAAAGCAACACTATTAATCAGTGTGCTCATGCCTTAACCAGGGTCAGTCCCAGGTGAATCCCAGACCTGCTGGAATTAACCCGTATAGCCGGGGGGCGGAAGGAGTTCACACAAGTGACCCTCTTCACTAGGTACTGAGTTCCTCCTTCTGTATTTCAATATGTGTGAAATTCACGTGGACCTTAAGAATAAAAATCTGAGGCTGTTTGAGAGACTAGGCCATTCTGTTCCCTTTGTCACTGGCCTTGGTTTGGGGGCTGGTGGTTTAAATTTTTTTATTTTTATTTTTTTTTAGTAATCTCTACACCCAACTTGGGGCTTGAACTCATGACCCCGAGATTAAGAGCCAGATGCTCCTCCAACTGAGCCAGCCAGGTACCCCTGGGGGCTGGTGGTTTAAATCTAACTTTTATGTGCATGTTTTTTAGGTCTTTTGTAGCTCCAGCTACTAGGGTCCCTTCTTCCTTCTTGCTGCTTTCCTGAACCACTGCCCAGGCATTTTTGGTCCAAGATGCCTTCAGCATATGATGTGTGGGACAGAAGCCTCCATGCCTGCCCTCTGGAACTATGCTGACAGTCCCTTGCTGTCACAGGGAAGTGGGCGTGAAGGGAAGCCCACTGATGTGAGTGAGCCCAGTGGCCTGAGCAGGTGCCGAAAGGAACTTGCCCATGCTCATTTAGCTTCAGGAGGGCCATCCAGAACTGGGGGTGCAAAGAGCCTGGGCAGCTCTTGGGAGCAGGAACAAGAACGAGTTGGAGTCCTGGTTCAGTTGACTGATGGTCTGTAGGAAGCAGCATGCTAAGGGCCACTGTAGGCTCAAATAGGCAGTAAGAGCCCCAAATCCCAGGTATAGGGGAAGCCGAGGGTCCAGCTGCTTTCCATAGCCATTTCTTCTACATGGAGGTAGAGCAGGAACCAGAATTGGGAGTGAAGCTTGCAAAGTGAAGTGAATAGTAGAACGAGCAGAGCAAGACAGCTGGTAAGGCTGATGGGTGCTGAGTCTCCAGAGGGTCTCCATTATTTCCAGCCCACCAGGAATAGCCCAGAGCTTGGGAACTGGCTGAATCTGCAGAGATGGCAAGGGGCCCAGGGAGAGGTGACAGAGGAGGAAGCCAGGCAGGCTTCCTGAGACAAAGGGCAGAGAAGACTGAGGCCTCAGTGGGGTTTCCTGGCAGTGCTGAAGCAGTGTTAGAGGTGGAAGATGCCAGGAGCCAGAGCAAGGGGAGGAGGGACTCTTGCTCCTTCTGGGAACACTTGCAGCCCTGGCTGAGAGGGGTCTGCCCGATCTTCCCGGGTCCCCAACTAAACCACATTTTCTCTGCCTCTACTTCTTGGTGTCTATAGCTTAGCCTTATTTTATAAAATTCGCCCCTGTTCACCTCCACCCCTAACTTGGACAGACACAGCCACGGTGTTTATGAATTTAAGTTTTGTGTTCAGGAAGATCAAAGTAACAAAAAAAGGATTGGAAAAGCATTAAAAAGGGATTGGAAAAATACATAGGTTTAGGCAATCCCTGTATAATTTTGCATCTCCCTCAGTGGAGTTTCATGGAATGTCCATGAAGTGTTTATGTAGATGGTGTAATAGTTCTGGATAAGTAGCTTTGTGGTAGGTAATGATGATTATTTAGGTGTTATATGCCTGCTTTATAGTTCAGGGGTCTCTTGAGTAGTCAGTATGCTCATTTGCCTGTTTTATGTGACTTAAGAGTAAAATTTTACAATTTTAAACAGTTGTGGAGGCT